AAAGTGGTGCAACATTTCATAGTTGTATTATATAATAAAAGGTACATTAAAAAGAAATGTTTAATAAATACATGCACTAAAGTGCAATAGAAAAATAATTATATATATTGCAGTAAATTGGCAACTGAAAGTGCAACTTTTAATCAATTAAAACGAGGAAAAAGTGCTACAAAAAATGTTTAATTTATTGACAAATTGATTTAAAATATTTTCCAGTAAATAAATACCACTATGAAAGTGACCAATAAAATAATGAAAAATAAATAAATTAAGATATTAAATTAAAAAAAAAAATAACTCGCTGAGAACTCATTTGTTGAACGTTGTATATTTTGCATTAGGTATGCACTTTAAAATCCCCAGGAATTAAATGGGAACATTAATTAAATATTAATATTATTTTAAAATATATAACCTAATCAAAATATTAGTTCTCACTATTGGCTAGAGTCAAGGAGTTATAAGCTTTATTGCGTTTAGGAGCTTCAATAAATATTTTTATATTTTTGAAACAATATTATTTAATTTTATATTCAACTAATAAGCTGTTTAAATGATTAAAATGATGTTATAATTTTCTGAAAAATACCGTCTTATCTTCGGTATGCAATAAGCTTTTAATGCTAACACAACAAGTTCGACTGCATTTAATTTTGCAAATAATTTTAACAAGCATCTGCTTTGTATAGTATTGAAAAACAAGTAACAATAGCAGAAACAATGTAATGATTGAGCAAGATTTTCAATTAGATAGTTACAAGAGATAGTTAGTTCTTTTCAAACTGCGTAATTGTGGCTCTTGGCCATAGCTAGATCAGCTTAGGCTCTTCTAGATTGCATATGAACCGAGCATAATTCGCATAATACTGCTATGAACCACATATATCTGTACTTCAAAATCAAAAGCACTTACTACTAGGTCAAAATAGTCCTTTAAGTTCTTTGATCACAAAGCAGAATAAGTAGAAAAAAGTGAACTGCTTCAAATAAGCCAGCTTATGCAAAAGCTAAAGTAATCACGACTTGAATCCTAAAAGAGACCAAAAATTCACAATTGCTTTTCTGAAGGACCTTTGGCGTGAATGGAAAGTTGGTTTGGGGCACTCGCAACCCTACAGACTGCAATGGGTATGCCCTTATTTTTCGGCTTGAGCTCTGTGTAAACGCTGCTAAAAGTCACATTGCATTCGAATGGAAAAAGCACAGAGTGTACGAACCCCAAAAGCCTTATTGTTTTCTGGTTTTTATCTACTCCAAGCCGTTATTTCACTTTTCTTGCAGCGTCTGAGGCTAAGGCAAGGCGATTATTGTTGCAAACTTGGTTGACAATTTGCGTCAAGCTGCAGGCAAAACTTGCCAGCCCAACTGACGGCCAAGAAGACCAAAAAAAAAAGATGAAGAACAAAAAAAAAAACAAAAAAGGCCAAGTAAAGTAGATGAAATGAAGCTGCAGGCAGCAAGCACCGGGCACCAGGCTGGGTAATAAGGCATCAGGCAAGCAAAAAGTGTACTGAAAATAAACAGTCGCATAGTCGGATAGTTGGATGGTCGCATGGTCGCATGCTCGGATAGTTGTCTTCGAGTTGGATGCTGTAGAGTTTGTTAGCTGTCTGGTCTGTGCGTGTATTGTGTCCTGGTGAGCTCAAACTTTTACCATGCTATAAAGACTTTGCATTTTATATACCCTGTAGCCGTTGAAATCGACTGAAGAAGAGCGGCACAAGATCTGTGGTTCGCTCTAGGGCTTGCTGTGCGTGCAACCCGCATTACACAGCAATGAGCAGATGATTGGGTCCAAATTTTGGTTCCATCTACTTCATATGTTATATACATATTTAAACAATTAAATATTTTAACAAATTAATAATACAGGGGGTTTTTGCTTTTGTTCAGAGTCTGAAACCAATTTGTCTCCAACCTAATTTCCAAACTAATTTTGAAAAAGTTATTTTTCGAATCGGGCTAGGGTTCCGCCCATTGTGCGCACTTGTATGTGTTTAATTTGAAAGTTCGTTTCTTACATACTACAAATAAATTGAAATATATTTGTGGATTTTTTGTACATTATTTGCAAAATTATTTCTTTGTTGTAATAAATGCTCCAATTTTTTTAACATAACTCTGTTCATATTATATCACGAATATTTAACTCTTTGGAAAACACGCCTACTTCACTTATACAAATATTCAGAAACAAAATTATTTCAACATTTTGGCTGATTTTTCGAACCATTGAAATGTTAAATTAATTGACTTTAAATGGGACTTTAAAAACAAAACTGATTAAAGAATTCATTTTACAAAGTCTGTATTTGTACAATATAGTAGAAGCATTTGAAAAAAAATATACATTTAAATGCATTTTGATGTTTTTCTCAATATTATGTTTAGATAACGATGTTTTAATGGGAGCACGACAGCTCGAGGCTGCGTAACACAGGGTACATTCTGGTCTGGCGCGCTCAAGCTTGAGCTATCGCTAACTTTTCTTTTTACTTATTAATGCTATATTTAAGTTGAATAATTTTTCTTGCTTTGTTGCGGCTTTAGAATTAAATGCGCTTCGCCTGTGGCGGGTCAACGACAGCGAGTCTGGCCGAAAGGCGGTCGGCGGAAATTGTATATCCGTTAGAAAATTATCAATTTATGGTAAAATGAGCACTGATTGCAAATGCGCAGAATATGCTGGCATGCGACAGGAATTGAAAAGTGCCATGCTTTGTGGCATTGCTAAATTGAAAATGAATCGAAATGAAAACCAAACCAAACCAAACCAAACCGATGCGAAGCACTGGAATGTCGCAGCCAAGGCGACAGTCAACAAGCAGCTGGCAAAGGGGGCCATAATGAGCAAGTCAATATCATGGACAGCATGGCACAGCAAAATACAGACATATACTGCATATACACGCCCACTCACGCCCACCCACACACACTCACACCCAGCACATCAAGCAATCGATGAGGTCCTGAGCGCACTCAAGTCCATGCGGCTTGGCTGCGTCTTGCCTCATGCAGCGTCGTGCGATAAAAAGCAGATTGCAATTTGTTTTACTGATTTCCATGCTTTTGGCTTTATTTGCTCGACGGAAACTTTCATTAACATCAAACAGCTACAGCTACTGCTATAGCTATAGCTATAGCTATAGCTGTGGGCACAACAGGAACAGGGCACAGTCCAAGGGAATATTCAAACAACTCAGCCGCATCTTGTAATAAACACTTTCAGTAATGAACATATACATAACACATGATATTCCTGCAAATGGCATGATTAAGTAGCAACGGCCATTGTTCATTAATGCAATTAGTTATAATTAATAAAGCTCGAGCATGATGTAAATTGCACTGCATCGGAAACGAGCTCAAGCTATTAACTGCAAGTTTAAATACTGAACATTTTTACCAGAGTGAAGGTTGGTAAATAAAATAGGGCTTAGGCTCTGTGAGCGGGTTTTATTAAAAGTAGCTTACGCATGCCGAGGAAATAAAAAGAATTTTAAAGCATTCTAGTTCCAAATACCTCAAGCATTTATATAGAATATTTTCAAATTAGATGGAAAAAAGATTGTGTAAGCAATAGATTTAAGCAATAGACTGTATTTATACATAAACTCAAAGCGTAAGAAAACAGTAGGTAGAGTTGATTGTTGCATTGTATAAAGTAGAAACGTGAGTAGCTTACAATATCAACTATATAAACTTAGTGAGAACAATTGTATGAACCTTTTGTCTTAAAGCTTTTTTAAAGCTCTCATTCTTAACTGTTTATGCTAAGAGAGCAAAATAAATCTTTGTAGTTGAGCTCTTAAGTGGATCATCTACCATTTATGTGCTTTTTAAGCAATTTCTATAATAAGCTTGGTTGAAGCTGCACTTTACGGCTGTATGCCATTCAGTCATTGGCAGTCGGCAGTGGAAACCGCAAGCACATCTAATTGGCCACAAGTTGATGTGCAAACATTTGCCACCTCGAAATTTGTGTAGGCAAACAGTTAAGGGAATCTGAACAATTTTATAAAATATGCACAGCGAGTGCAACCAATTACTAGGGCAAATAATGGCCCGAAATGAGTTTTAAGTATCTCACACGCTCGCTTAACAAACCGCAGGCATTCACAAACTGTGCTCTAACATTAACATTTACACTCGGCATTGGGCATAACAAAAGTCCTAGCACAAACAATAAATTTATGGGATCCCCAGCTTGACCCCTGAACCCCCTGCGACGCCAACTGATGCCTGACCCCTATGAAAGAAAGATGTCGAAATTGTGTAACTTTGTTTGTAAGTAATTTTAACAAATTTGCGAGACATTTGTGGCCTTTTGTGCAAATATTTAACCTATTTTGGGCGCAACACGGCTGCCGTCCACATTATTCTGTTTGGCTTTTGTTGTGTATTGTATGTGTGGGTTTGTGTTTGTCTCGACTTTTTGCGGCCAAAAAGGCCAATTAACTTAAATAATTAGCCAAAGTTTCTACAGTTGCGATAAAATTGTTGTCCAAATTGGCCCTGGTTCCGGTCGAGCTGGCATTTCAGCACTAATGGCCACAAATTTCAATAAAATTTCATTGTTCTGCTGAGTTATATTGTGCTGCCAATTCAAAACTCAGTAAACATAGAAGATTTTTTAAAAAACCAAGTGTACTTTTCGATTGTTTCTAATAAATATAACTCAATTGTAATTTGAACAAGTCACAAGTGGCATTATAATGGGCAGCAAATCCTCGAAAACAGTCAAAGGTATTAAGAAGGAAAAATCGGACGACGATAAGTATAAGGATACGCACATTATTTTTCGCTTCATCTATTGGGCAATTGTGTTCATCGTGCTGGGCATGCTCGTCACGGGCCTCTACTACACGCTCAAATCAGATTTTGGACAATGCTCATCGCATGATGTTAGATGCTATTGAAGGCGTTTTGCACTACGACGTAAGTAAAGCATCTAATTTTAAAATCCTGCCCTAATTCTTGTTGTTGTAATTAAGTTATTCTTGCAATGGACAATATTGTGCGAACTAAACGTCAACAAAGAAACCACTATATTTACTGGGCGGTAGTCATGTGTCTGTTTATTTTATTCATAATTATGTTATTTTTCTTTATTGAGCAAAAGCCCGTATACTGCACTGACTATGAAGTCGTTTGCGTAGAACACGTAAATCCCATATATTTTGAATACTTAACTTTATTTATAATTATGTATTATGTATGCAGGAACAATAATTTAAAAAATTTTATATATGCTTAAAGACATGCTGCTTGGGACTGCCTGAGGTACGTGAGGCATATTAACTAAGTATTAATTTGTTAGCCCTTTTTAGTATTTTTGTATCGCTTCGATAGTTTAAATCGATCTGAGTTAATGATCACGTTTAAACATTTGTGGCTTTTTGTGGTAAGTTTCAAAATATTACGTATACGCCATGGTACATATTCTATATTTTTTTGTCCTTTTCATTGCAGAGTTTGTTTCTGAGCCTGACTTAAGAAAATGCTCAACAAAAAATAAATATATTACTTTTTACTTTTAGCAAGCTGCCAGAGAAAACTACGCCGCCATTTGCAGACAATGTGCTCGATGTTTACACATAATTAAGACAATTTGCTGATTGGCTGCCAAAAGTTGAGCACAGGCGCTGAGAACTTGCTTAAACAGACGCCAGTTCAAATTACTCAACTCTTCAAAAAAAAAGAACTGCCTGCTCCATTAACACGATATATATTCACATGATTTTCAACAATTTCTCACACATATAGGCCGCCAGCACAGTGCCTGTTAGCAGTTGTCTGACATCGAATAAAATATGAAACCTGTTTTTTTCGTCTACCTTAGCATCACATATAATATGGCATATTTTATTGGGTTAGTTTAACTGTGGATAAAAGAAAAAAAATATTGTTGACCTACTCCACGCATATTGAATGTTGAAAAAGCAGCTTTTCAAATTTATTGAAGCGCTGCCTTTTATGCAGCTCGCTCGTTGAATTGACGATGCGCATTCATGAATACCCGAAGAGTGCAGTTTATGGCTGAATGAGTGTGAAGAAAGCGCATCGAAGCCATATACATATAAATATATATATATAAATAAATATAAATATATATGTATATAAAAGTTTTACATGAGGATTAAAGCTACAAAAAACTACAGCCTCTCTATATTAATTAAGGTTTTTACTTGGATTTGATGGGGATTTTATTGCTGCTTCACCCTGTACACGTGAACTGAATCAAAAGGCAACAAGAGGCAACTCTCAGCTTTTTATATATAGATAATTTATATGTATTCTCAATCAGCTTTAAAAGGTTGGCTGTCTTTCGATTTTAAAGCAAAAGCCTAAGGCCTTGCTGCGCTATAAATAATTTGAATCCGTACACTTGACAGATACAGGATATACTTTAGCCGTGCACTTTGAGCGCATACCCTTTGCCGTTTTTTGCTGCTTTTGTTTTGTATGTTTTTATGCCCTGCCCAACAATAACGTTTTCACAGTCAACGCGTGAGTCACTTGTGGCCAAAAGTTTATCCAGACACACCCACACACACGCACACACACACAAACAAATACACATACGCACACAAATAAAGTTGTAAATGCAAACAACAAACTGCATACTAATGATGTCTCTGTTGTGGTCTGCACTTTTGCGCTGTTAGCCCGCATAATTGGACCCGGCTGTGTGTATATGTTATGTGTGTGTGTGTGCGTGTGTATTATCTGTGCATGTATGTATTCCTTGCTATTTATCGTATGATTTAAAACATGAAAGCGAACAATTCGAAAAGCTCTTTGGCTCAAATAGGGGTTTAATTTACAAATCTAACGGCCGCAAAGTGATTCTTGTAAAAGCTTAAATTTAAGACGAAATGACACTTGTCTAATGTACAGATCTTAAAAAATATTTTCAAAAATTACAATATTTAAAAAATGATTTGAAAATAAAAGCATTTTCTTATTTAGTTTCAAACATATCTTAAGGTATTATTGAAACTTTCTTCTTATAAGCTTCATCCAAAAAAATAAATCCAATTAAAATTGGATTAATCCAAATAAAAATATAAAATATATCTTAATATTATATTATTGAAAGAAAACTTTGAACTGAAATTCTGAGTAATTATTTTTATTTAATATTAGAGAATTTAACGCTCACAGACCTATTTAAAAAACTTTATGAACAAAAGCTCTTTTATAGCTTTAATGTGCTTTTTAAGTAGTTCAAGCGCAACTTAAATTGATTGCAGTTACTCTGTTTAAACATTCCCTTTGACATGATTAATCTAATATTAAATGCGCCTATTTCACTCGGTGTCGTTGGCCACAATTTCAAGGTCAGGGTTTGGCGTTGAGTGCATGAAACTCGAGAGGAACGTCATGTCAGGAATGAACTGATGAAAATATATGTGTGTTTTTATAACAAACTCTCATTGTTATTTCTTGGCTGTTGCTGACATTTTGCTGCACAGCAGGTGAAAAATAAATAAACTTTTAAATTTCTAACGTAGATTTATTGCCAGCGCTTGGCTAAAGTTTGACATGAGCTGGCATTGCGGTGGCTTCTAGCCACACACCCAAACACACACGCACACCATAAGCACTCGAGACTAATTGTAGTCGAGCTGTGTAAATTGCGCTATGATTATTTGTAGCAAAACTTCATGTACCGTACAGCAAGTACCTTGTGGTTTGAAGACAGTAATTGGGATCCTAATTATTTTTAAATTGCGAAATGTGCAATTCTTGCGAATGCATTAATTGGCTAAGATAAAAGCATTATCGATGCTCAGCTGGAAAATGTAAGCTTCATGTAAAGCCTGTTCACAATCTTTATGCTTAGCTAAAGTCCAAGGCACAAGAGAATTCCCTGCGAGAATGAACATACGGCAAGGCTCGGCTGTAATCCAAATTTAATCCAATGCTACGCCTCTTTGGGCCTTTATCGTACACCTATTTAATATCTCTTGAAGAATACATATATATATATATAAATATATATATATATTGTCAATTTATGTATTAATCGGACAATAACATTGAAGGCATGTCCAAGGCTGAGGCAGACAAAATTATAGGGCTTCAATAGGCATAGTCTGTCAATTGTGAAGTCTTGAGGACATTCGGGTCAAAGGGACGGTCGCATTAGAATAGGCTTTTCCAAGAACATTTGTTGAGGTCGCATGTCAAGAGAAAGGGAAAGGCTGAGCATGATGGACAAGTCAAGTATCATTTTGGCAAAGGTCTATCTCATAAGTCCTATAAATAAAGTCGTACAGTTTATTAATTTGTAACAAGTAAACTCCATTAAACTCGTTATATATTTCACATATAAATTATAAGAATTAAGTCAGTTTTAGCTGAAATACACACACAAAACACAGACATATCTCCACACACACACAAGCCATAAGATATGAAATCTATCTGCTGTCAATTACAAATTTGTCTGCAAATGATTGCAGGAAACTGTGATAAGCAGTCAATTCAGCTCACTCCGCAGACCCGCTCTGTAACTGGCTGATAATTGCAAGCGCAAAGGAATGCAGCTAACGAGTTTGGCCAAATAGACCGCCAGAGTACACGCTGCGTATGAGTAATATGAACTTATCAGAATTTACATAATTGAACTTTCCGACAGCCTTCCGACTGCCGCACACGCATGTTGTTTTGTTGTTAGTATACAATAACAATAGTATAGCAACGGGCAGCTCTCCCACTGACTGACTACACTAAATACCGCCTCAGCAGCAAGCACAGCTAAGCGGCTTACTTGCTGGCTGTTGTGGGACGCAAAATAGTTGCTGTCTATGTGGCGCAATTCCATTGTAACTTGACTGTGCGTGGGGCACAAATAGTTGATGTTGCAACCACAGGATGCTAATTAGGAATAAATGAATACAAAGGAATGGGCGCCAACAAGTTTTAAGCCCAACATGCAGCTTGCTGCTTACCACATGAAACTTAAGTTTTCAACTATGTTATATGCTGCTTTTTACACCGTGTACTTATAGAAAATGAATAAAGACGGGAGGAATGATAGTTTCTTTTCAATTACTAAAAGACAGAGACATAGAATGAGAAGAGCTCGTATAATGTGCTGGAGGACTAAGAATATTTTCCCATTTTCGAACATGCACTTTAAGAAGACGCTGGGTTAAGACAACGATAGTCGCGACTTGCTGTGCTGCCAGTAGGATTAATAACAAGGAAGATAACTACTCTGCTGCAACATATACATATTTTATATATTTTTATACATGTGAGAGCTACATAGGTACAAGTTTAGTATGTAGGTTTAAGATAAAGGTACGCTGATCCATACTAGTTCGCTATTTAGATATATCTGTCTTGAGAATTAAGGCCCTTCACTATGCATTAAATTTGGACGCCAAAGACCCAGGCTTTTGAATGTGGCAATGCATATAGAAGGAAGCTAGAATGTTTCTGATGATGCATGGATGCAGGATATCATCTAGTCGCGTATTCTTGACTAGCGCACTTTAACTAGTTTTTTTGTTTGGTTGGCTTGACAGGACCTTGTTTTGTAGCAGTAAAATCTCAGGGCTAATTTTTTGTCGAACAATTTAACAGTATATTGACCTAATTGTCTCGGTCGCTCTCTGTCTCTCTGCCTCGCTGCCTCCGTCTCGTTCCCCTGCGTCCAAACTTGTCCTCAACTTGAGTCCATTTGGTAACTTAAGCCATGACCACTCTGCACCAGCAAAAAAAAATCCTGCTGACTAACGGATTTAGTTGACTTTGTAGCTATGAGCTGGGAGCCAGTTTGGCTGGCCAAATCCTTTGATTTGGGTTTCATTTGCTGACCAATTGCCAGCATGGAATGCTGCTCAACACGTGCCTGTCTTCACTTTGATTATTTGGTATTTTGTGTGTGTATTTTTTTTCTTTTGCATTTGAAATTGTATTTAAAATCAACACGTTTTAAACAAAAGGCGTTGACGTGCACAAAAAGACAAACAAAACATTTGACATTAAGTATGTGAGATTTTCGTGTTTCATGCCCTAACCAAGGGTATTGCGAAAATGTCACTCTAGATGGGTTTAAATGTATTTGTATCTCTTTTTATATATTCATATATTTATATTATTTTGTTTATTATTTAATTTACATTTTCAGTCAACTTTGCGAAAATGAAACTGTCGTAAGATAATCTTCTCAGCACGAATGTTACTCAGCTTTAGATATTGATTTTATATGATAATTCTCATAAGATATTATATCATAAGATATTATATCATCGTACTATATGGAATAATAATAATTCAAATTATCAGGTGAAGGTCTAACTTTCTATCATTGATATAATTCAATTCATTTCAACGTAATTATTCACATAAACTTCTTTCTTTGTTCAAGATCAAAAAGCATATTTTAGGACTACATTAAAAGAACTTCATTGAATGTATCTACAAGAGTATTTCATTTTCCGAGTGCTCAGGCTTTTTTATTTTTGTATAAATTGTGTCGAAAATACGGCAACACGTGCTGCGGTATGTAAATATAACACACATTCACACACATACTCTCATACTCTCACACATATTTCATAGATAGGTACATACATAAGTTGTGTATGTGTTTGAATTTGTGTCTGTTTGCGCTTCCGTCTGTCAGATACAATTGTTGTTGTTTTTGTTTATATTCGTCGTCGTTGTAATGATTGTCCCTGCTGCCCTTCCAGCACGGGCACCCATCCCTGCCCCCTTACTCCATCCTCCATACTTTATGCACGTGTTTCCTCTTCGATATTTGCATTGGCATTGCATTGTTTCCGGAACGGCTGTGTTTTTCCGCATGCAAATGAAAATGCTTTAAACGT